GTTTATTTTTAAAAGTTCACAATAAAATATTAATGCTTATGTTTGACCACTTGAAAAAGGTGGAAGGGTTTCGCAAATCCATGTGGTTGAAAGAAGAAAAATACATCAAAACTTGCAATTCTATATTCAGTAATTTCTGTTTTCTAAAAAAAAAACTTTCTGGGTTTCTCTAACTCCTTTTAAGCCTGGAGAAAATCAAGCAAAGTGGCATTCTGCAATAGCCAGTGTTCTACTGGTGACCAAACCTCATTAGACACCCAAAACTTAAAAGATCTAAACTCTTCTTCCCGATTTAACCCAGAAACCTCGGTATGAAATTCCTAAACCCCACGTTAGAGCTCTTAAGACCAAATCCTTGGCAATTTCAGGCTTCTCCTCCGTACATTTTAGTTTGTTTGTTTAATATCGGGTGTGAAAGATTCCTGACCAGATGAGCAACCTTCCAATATAGTTACCTGTATACTCTGTTACATCTACTCTGTTACCTGAGGTCTGTACATACACACACACTTACACTTCAGTATGTGCATATGGGCTATATTCAAAACCCAAATAATGGAGAATTTATTGATAAAAACAGTAAATAAATTTTTGTTTGCCATTTTCTAGCAGAGATCTGTCTGAGGGTTTTCTATCAATCTTTTCCACTGAGTAAATACCAGTTACTGAAACAAAAATCATTCAAGGGAAAGAAGTAGGAGGGGTGGAACTGAATGATCTTTATGGTCACTTCCAACCCAAACCCGTTCTGTAATTCTATGACATTTTCAATTAGTGTTTTCAATCACATTTACTGCAGTATATTGTGAAATGACAAAAATACTGTATTTCAATATTTTCTACACAAAAATATCTGCTTTTTTTTTTTAACATGATGAGTTTTTAATGGCCTTAATTGCAAAGAACTATTTGAGACCATCTATTAATTATTTATTAACTGTTAACCATTCATTTAACTACCTACTGTGAGGTGTCCCTGCCCATGGCAGGGGGGTTGGAACTTGATGATCTTAAGGTCCTTTCCAACCCTAAGTATTCTATGATTCTATTAAACCATTTAACCACCTATTTAATCAGATATTTTAAAACATTTCAACAGACCTGATTGCAGGGGTCTTTCTCAGCCTTCAACTTGCAGGAAAGGTGATGATATGGGGTGTTATTCATGATCCAGAGAGGACCATTCGGTGGGTTTGAAACTGCAGGAAGTCCCATGGGATAATATGTCGTAGGCGGCCATGGCAGTTACCCATAAGGAACTCTAGATCTTGCAAAAATCATGAGAGATTTCATATTCCTTCCAACAAGTAAAAGAATCCACTGTACAGACAGGGCTGGTAGCTCTTGTTTTCATAACCACAACTATTCCCTGTCTCTAAATGAACATTACTTACATGGCTCTTAACCTACCAGGAGATTATCCGAGATAGCGAGTCAGACTTGTTCTACACATTGCATTTCACCACATACTACCCAAAAATTGTCTTTGGACACTGACTGGCGTTGTGAACAGATGCTCTGGTGCATGGACACACCATGCAGCATACAAACATACTTTTGTCACACCCTGGACATTACACGACGAGCAGTGTCGGTGGCTGCTGGCGTCTGCCAGTTGTTTGTATTCTACATGAAAAGTGAAACTGGGCATCCTGGACAAGTCTCAAAGTTCTCTCTGGACACAAAATTGTAGGTCATCCTCAACCTATTTTGCTGACCCATGAGACAAATTGTGTTTCTATTAAATCAAGCCTTCAAGAAATATCTTCCCTAACTTGACAGTGACTAGTTAGCCTGGCTTGCAGCAAATAACCGTGGAGCGACAGGCATCTGACAGTGATTTCTCAATGCCTGGGCTGCAGTTCTCTCCTCTTTGCCCTGGCGGGTTGCAAGCAGCAGCAGGATATCGGTGTGTGCTTCAGGCAGGCAATTTCTGATTTCAACTCCCAGCTTTTCCTGGGAAAATATTTCTTGATAGCACAGCTGAAAGATGTGGAAAGACATCGTTGTTGGCTGTAAGGAGAAAGAGCTGCCTGCTCTACACAGCATGGAAACAACAGTTAATTAGCCAGTAATATTAAGAAGCTTGGTATGTTTACAAACTATGAGTGAAGAAATGATTGAGATGTTAATGTATTCAGTAGGTGAACATAAAACCTCAGTGGCAGCAAAGGATTCCCTGAGCTTTCCCTGGTGGCCCTGTGACTCCAAACCACATTAAAAGCAAATGAACCAACAAAGAAACAGGCTGATGCTTTGATGGAAAAGTGTTGTGTTGAGGTCAGGAATAAGTGATGTCAGTTCTGCCTCTTGCTTCAGGAGCATCTGTGATTTTCCATAATCATTTCAAAGACGGCAATCTAACCAAAAGTAGTGTTAAGTGGTCCCTCTCTACTCTTGGACTAACCCAGTGTTGGTGGTTTTTTGTCTACTACCACTGCTAACAGTAAATTTTGCAACATGCTGCTGGTAGGTTTGGTCATGCTAATAAATGTTGGTTCAAGTGGGAATTCCTTGTGGGAGCTGGCATATCCTACACCACAGCCACTGATTTCATTGAGTTCCAAACCGTTTCTTAAAGCATTGCGAAAGCTGGTCAGGGAAACCCTGTGCATTGATGCTGTGTAACCTGGTATCTAACCACAGTTATTTCGTGATACACATAGATATTTGCAGGTAGAAGAATTTAACTTTATCTGCAATGAAGAAGTGTATCAAAACCTCCAGAGATGCTCTTAGCAATCTTAGTAAACCTTGAGTACTGGGATATCACAAACAACAACTTCAGACACTAAGCCAGCAGGCAAAGGAAAACAAAAACCAGAAAGCCAGTAGGAAACAACGATGAGGTCAGGGAAGACCTGGAGCTTGTTTCTGGAGAGGGAAAGCTGGGACTGTTGCAAAAAAGCAGCAGGGCTACAGCAGGCAAAATAATCCCTTACCCTGCCAGTCCTGCCTGGGGCTGGGGTCCTGCTGCAGGCAGAATGGGGAGGGGGGTGGAATCACTGAGCATCTGCTGTTGCTCAAAGATTCCAGTCCAAGTGAGCCCCGGTGCAAGGGAAATCCCAGTTTTTCCCATTGCGCGCAGGGGAAAGATGCAGAAACAAACAAAGGAAAAAGAAGGATGAGGCTGGTAGAGCTCGCTTAGATGTCGTCAAGCAGAAGAGATTTCAGGGGTGAAAACAGGTTGGTGACAGGCCAGTGCTCAGCTTGATTGCTCCTTCCCTCCAGCCCACTGCTGGTGTGAGGGTGGAGGGTGCTCCAGTTCCTGTGTGCTGGAAGTGCAGGCACCGCTGCCACCCACCACATCTCCTCAGGGAAATCTGTTCCTCCTCAGCTCCAAAGCAAACCCCTTGCTTTGACCTTGCTGAGGTCACAGGGATGAAGAGCAGGGACTTTGCAAAAGCTTCTGCCCCTACTCCTGATGTGAGGGTCTGCAGAAGGCAGTTCTACCACATCCCATTCCCCATTCCCTCTTAAGATCTCAACCTTGCCTGATCCAACAGCAGTGATGCTGGTTAGCCTTCAAATGTGGGGCCAGGCAAACCCCCATGCCTGTGTTCATAGTATTGGCAACCCCAGGTATTCAAAACCTCTTCACCTGGGTGTCACTCAGCTTTGCTGTCCCTCAGATGCTTCTTTTTAATTATCTTCTTGCTAATCCCATCAGTAATTACTCCAAGCCATTGCAACATAGCTCCAAGTCTCCGAGTGCAGATGCTCTCACCATGAGCCATATGCCTGAAACAAAGAGAGATGAACCTGTTAATATCCAGGCTTCAAGAACTCTTTCACCTCTTCCTACCCTCTGTGGGTTATCAAACCCATCAGCTGAGCTTGCTTTCAAGGCCAGATACCATGAGAGACATGGTACTGTAGGAGACAGGAGAACTCCAGGGTAACGCATGGAGGTTTTCAGCTGCTGACATTGTTATGGGTCTTCCTGGTGTTCCTGCAAGTTTATGACAATGGTAGCACTAACCAGAAATTTCCTCTTGAGGGACAAAGTATCTACAAATGCTTTACATACTGGGGGTACAAAAAGGGTTAACACCCCCTCATCCTGGCATGAGCAGTAGCTCTAATTCCCTTTTCTGCTGAGATCAGTAGGGTGCAATTCCAGCTAGGAACATCCATGGAGAGCAGAGCAGGAATTTAGTATCTCTAGCTGAAACCTTAGGAAAAAAATGGTCCATCCTTAACGCATGCTCTTGACTGTTATCAGGTTCATTTCATTTCAGTTCAGAACAGAATTGCTTAGAGCCAAAACTTCACAATACCTGGATCTATGGACCGACAGGGACTGGGAAAGAGCAGTGCTTGTGCTGGAACTGCATAACACACCAGAGATATGCCTGGCGGCCATAGCCCAGGACAGAGGCATCAACACTTCATCCACAACCCCAACAGTGTGATTGGGCTGACTAGTACAGCCCCCACGGGGAAGAGGCAATAAAGCCACCACTGAAAGAGGATGAAGAGGATTTGTCATGCTGAGCAAGTGCTATAAAGGTTTTTATTGCCACTTGTTGGGGAAGTGCCTCACTCTCGACAGTGATGGAGTCCTTCTGAACTGAAGATATTTATCCACAGGGATAAATCAGGACTGATTTTACTGAAGAGCTGGGACCTGATCTCAGAGCACAAAGCAACCAAGTGCTCTCAGGGCTCCTCTTGTATCAGCTCAAAGCCACCTCAGCCCCCACTTCAGCAAAGGCGGTTTGCAGGAGGAATGGTGGCACAGCAAAGGGTCCTCATGCTTGCAGAGCTCCAGGGGCAGAACTGCTGCCTTCAGGCCAGCACGGGGCAGAGACTGGAGCTCTTCACATCACATCACACCAGCTACTTGCTCTTCACTTGCTGTTTAGTCACTGCTAACGCAAAACACCCAGGAGCCTCAGTCCTGGCCAAGAGCAAAGCTGCTCCTTTACACCCAGAGGATTCTTTTGTGCTTCTTAGGATGAAAAACCAGGCTGGTCCCATCAAGCCTGGTCCCACACAAGCATGCTGTCATCTCTGCTCTTCAGACAAGTCTGGCTCAGGAGCAAGGTGAGAAATCTGGAGCCAGAGCTGATGAGGGCCCTTAAGGCTGCTTTTGCTTGATGTGAAGTACCTCAATGTACATCTTGAAATAGGGATGCCCAGGATTAGGCCCAGAGGAGCTCTGTCCTCCTTTTACCTCCCTTCCCTTGCCCCATTTTGTGCCCCAACTTACAGTAAGGCAGCAAGTGGCAAATGCAGAAGTGGTGAATTGCAGCCTGAAAAATGCCAGAATGATTATTGTTGTTCAGGAGAGAAGGATTAATACAGCAGCCCAATGCAAGATTCGTATTTTGGGCAAAGTATTTTCATACAGATGAGAATCTACATCCATTTTCTCAGCTACTTGATTCATAGGAAGAACAGTGCTGAAGAAACAAGTGGAGAAAAAGGAAAATAAAGGCTCAGAGAACGCTTTATCAGTTATCAGATTAATGTGCAGCAAGGTACCAGTGGCAGGAAGAAGATGATTTTCAGGGCATGTTAATAAAAAACATCAAGCTGATGTAGAGGATCTGTTGCTTATTTTACCCTTTCTAAACTGCATCTTCTCAGACTGTCAGGAATGGCTTGGGATCCAGGCCAGCAATTTCCCTAATAGGAAGAAGGGAGAAGGGGTCTGTTAAAGCGTGGATGGTGTGCTGCTACTCAGCTAGAGTGAACGTGATGGATGGGGTGGCTGCTCAGCATCAGGCAGGGTGCAAAAGGGCCTCAGTAACATCTATTAAAGCAATCCATTTTCCCCGTCTCATCTGGCACTCACTCTTTGTCACCACACTTGTTACCTTTTCCTGATCGTAAATGCTGGGGAGATTCAAGGTATTTGAGCAGTCAGAGACGACAAATCCCTACTAAGAAGAAAGTGTAAAACAGCAGGAGAAACATATTGGCTTCATCCTGAGTGAACATTAAATACACTTCACATTTGTCTAAGGAGACAGTTAATGGGAAAACGGGTTCTTTAATTGAATGGGCTGAGGGTTTCACGCAGCTGCGTATAACAAACGCACAGGAGAAAGCCATTTCTCTATGCAGGGATCCCAGCCTGGGTGAGGCAAGAGGGAGCATTTCTTCCAGAGAATTAACAGCAAATGCAAGTGGCTGGTGAGGACAAGCTAGCGTGATGCTTTTCACAGTGCGGCTTTATTGAAAGGAAAAGATAGGGAACTTGGATCAGACATTTAGCCCAAAACTGGCCTAGGGCAACACACAGCAGAGGGTTATTCTTGTTGTGGTTTACAGCTGTCTTGAAGCCCAGGGCATGCCAGCTGGTACATTCAACTTGTCTGGGTCATTGGAGCCTTCTGCAGAACAGGGTTTTTCTCACTCAGTGATTCAGTGACAGCTTTACTCACCAGGATGTAGCTCTGCAGCTTGTGCTTGTGTTAGTGCTGCATCTTTTGCCCATCCTTCCTGGACCAGTGCTTCTCACCAGCCTCTGAAGTACAAGGTATTGACAACTGTTGCACAAAGGTGCCAGCCACAGCAGCCCAGAAAATACTCAAAAACTGTGTATGAGTTTTATAGCCTGTATTTCCCCTGACATGTGCTGCATTTGTCCGTTTGCAGTCACATCAATCTTCCCGTCTCTTGAACATTCCTTCCCCTTGCACAATCCTTCAAACTCACTCTCCTGCAGCATAACCACTTCACAGTCTAAAGAGCATCTCAGATCCTGGGATTAACTTGAATATTATTTTCCTTTATTTACCAGAAATGTTTTTCAGACACATAAACCCATTACCTTTCCAGGGTGTACAGAAGAGCATGGCAGGGCCAGCAAAGCAGCCAAAGCAGTGCATCTGCTTTCATTCTTACCATGTTAATTAATAACATAATTAAATGGTGAAAGCCACTAGTGGAGTGTTGAGGGAAGGGGCAGAATAAGGAATGTAGCAAGAAAGGGATTGAAGGAACCTCCTCTGTTGCCAAGTCCTCTTCCTCTGATCCCCACCAGCTTATTAAACCCAAAAGTAGTAGCTTTTCCCTTGCTCCCTAGGGGAGTCTGTAAAGACCTGACCTTATATATCAAGGAATCTCCTCATTTGCAACTAGAATTTATACTTAATCAGTTTATTCTTGTTCTGTAGTTTAAATTCCCTCTCCTCCGTGGGGCTTATACAGCTCCAACAGGCTGTATGAGCATCCCCTCCTTCAGCAGCTTCTTTTTTCCCTGTATCCTCACCACTCTTCTCCATACCTGTAAACCTCCCTCAGTCTGTGCAGACATCAGCAGATACGTGTGCTTTGCCAGGCTGTGAGGACAGCAGCAGCTGCTGGGACAGCCCAGAGGTTGGTGGGGCTCAGCCCTGAGCAGGGATGCCTGAAAGGATCTGGCACCAGCAGGGTTCAAGCAGCTACTCCAGGTCATTTGTTCTAAAGGTGGGATTTGCTTGAGCATACATGGGGGCAAACCAAACTATTCTACTCATTGCAGCTGCCTCTGGACAGGTACCAGGAGGCAGCATCATACCTGGATGCTAGCAGGCTTCAGGAGCCTTCTCCTCAGCAACTACTGCCTCGAGTCCTCCATGCCATACCAGGACAGGTTTCAAGGGGCAATATCTCCTAATAGCGGTAACACAGATCTATTTTCCAACTCTTCAAGGCTTTTTTCCTCCTTTTCCTTCCCTCTTTGGTTTACCTGAAAGCTGGGGACATCCATAGCAGCAGAAAGGCAGCTGACAGGTTTTCTATCATATTAGGGACCTGGATTTGCTAATTCCCAGAGCAGCATCATAAACAGAAACCCTCATCAATGCCAGGAAATTCTCTCATTCTTTGTGTGCTCATTAAGTGCATTTATTTAGCAAAAGGGCAGATGCAGGTCTGAGGTTTTAAAGGCCACAGGGAGCTGGCTGGCTGGCTGGCTGGTCTCACCCTGTTAACTGTGTTATCCCAATAACTGCTGAACACACAGACACCATAACTCTCCCAGTCTGAATCCGTGTTGCCCCACTGCCAGCTTTTCAGCAGGACTAGGAGATCAGATGTGAAAACTCTGACTTGGTAGGCTGAGTATAAGAAGCACTCAGAGGACCTTATCTTCTTCACAGCCCAGGTAGCGTTAGGTCACATTAAACACCTTTCCAGATCCTTGGTATTCCTTTCTTACCCCAGTACTGAACCGAAAAGCCAACTGCAGTTACAGACGATAAATGGCCAAGAACCAGTCTTCCCTGCCTTCCATGCAGGACATCCCCAGAGAAGGAGGAAGCCACTTACCCGGGGTGAGGAGAAGCTGTTGTTACAGAAGTGGGAAGCCATTGCAATGGGAAAAGAGAAGCTGGTACTTTATTCCCTGTTGTGATCACTCTGCCCAGGTGACTCAGTGCTGTTCAGAGTTTCCTTGTGGGGGTTGAGGAGGTTTCTGTAAGTCCATGAAACTCCAGCAGGAGACAGCCTGGGGAAGGGCTGTATCTGTCAGGGACATGGGCCACAGCTTAACTGGTCGTACTTAAGGTGCAAGACCTCAATCAAGGACTCTCTGTCTCATTTTCCATCAAAAACAAAAAAAATAATAGGACAATCATAGGCATAAGAGTTAAGTCAGTATGTTTTGCTTCATCTTTAACATAAGGCTGGGAATATTGTTTCCACTAATAGAGGAAGAAGAACAATTAGTCTTAGAGGGTATTAACACGTTGAATGTGCAATGTGATACAGATTTGTATGACAAATTGCCTTATAAGACTGCAATGAAGTGAGACTGGGTTTTCCAAGGTATTTGCAATGCTAATGCTTGGCAATGCCAGGTATCTGGTGACACTGCATGACAGGGAGGGCTATGGGTAGAGCATTAACCAAAAGAATAAGGGTTATTAAATGTGATATAAGGTACATAGCAAATGAGTAATTTACAAATGCATGTGACATCAATGGTTCAGGAATTTAAGAAAGGGTTTTCTTAGAGGGTGAGCTGTTCTCTTGGGAGGACATCTCTGATCTCTCCTTATCTCATCTCTACTAAGTCAAAAGGGTTGGGAGTTTGATAAAAAGCTGTCAAGATTTCCCTGCTAGAAGAAGTAATATTAATAAGAAAGTGCATTAAACATGCCGCTTGTAGCTTTTGCTGTTGAGGGAATAAAATACTTCCTTAATAACCACTCTGTGATTGTTTGGAAGGATGGGCCTTGTTGAAAAACAGGTATTTAAACACCTCATCTTTACTTAACAGTTCATACTCCCCGGCACCTAAATCAGTAAGCTTCAAAATTGTGATGTTTAGTGGTCCTTGTGCAACATGACAGAAGGTGCCAATCCGGAACCTATTAGACAAGTGGCCACACACTGCAGCTCACAATAAAATCTAGCTGCTGTGATGAAGCCACAGGCAAGAGTAAATGTTCGCTGAGGAGTCTCCATCCTGCTGTTCGTGGTGAACAGAGTTTGCAGACATTAGAGCTAACTGGGAATTTTCCAACAGACCATGTCTTTAGTGAAGAAACACATTACAGGATGCCAGAAACCCTGGCCTCATGTCCCAGATTGCGTCCTCCCCTCCCCACACAAGAGCCTGGGCGCCAGGGAAGTCAGGGAGCCTCAAGAAGAAGTTTTAAAAAGTAAGAAATGAGACATCTGGCTTAATATTTGTAAAAGCACCTCATTTCTTAGAAATCAGCAGTTTTCTCTCCGCTTTATAATGCCGATACGTTTTAAGTTACTCCAGAAAAGCAACCCCCGCCTCCAGTCAGCCATAGTGGTGTAAAGATGTCTCAATGGGCTCTCCCTGGCAATTTTCACCAGTAGTAGTTTCCAGAAATCAATTCAAACCCCATTGAAACCAATTGGCATTCAGTTTAATAAAATCCTGACCTTTCCTTAAAGAGGAAATGAAGTTTTACTATTACTAGGAAAAGCCAGCCCCTTACACCCCACTATGTACTTCCCCCTTGTCCTTCCACACACAGAACTGGAGTCATCCAGGAGGTGTTAATTATTTAGTTTATGCATTCCCTTATCCCTTTCCTATGTCAGTGGGAAATTGTATTTAAATGGCATTTTCTTCAGGCCTGTTATCACAAATATGCTGTAAAGCAATTTGGCTTGCCCTGTTTCCAGAGGCGTTAAGAGAAACAATTTATGACTCCACACTAGTGATTGGTATTGTGGCTCTGCTCATGCTTTACTAAACTAATGTCTGCAGCTCAAAAAGAAAAGGAACCTGCCCACAGATGTCCCCAGCTGGTCTCATTCACAGAGCTGGAGATTCATGAACCAATGAATGCTCCCAATTTGCCAAGCAGATGAATTTGAACGAGCGTGCAGAAGTTCACCCCATAAACTGGTTAATGGGAGCCACTTATTGTGCTTCTAGCAGTAAATGCCCCCAATTTGCTGCCACATGAAAATAGCTCAAACCTTTCATTGCATCTGTGCTGAAGAATAGGGTTGTGTGAGCTCCAGTCACTGGTGACGCAGAAGTTTTTGTCCATATGTGGCTGCTTTGCAGCTTCATACCAGTGACTCTAATAGCCAGTTTTTGCTGGTCTTTTCAAATCACTACAATTTGTATGTGCTACTTAATGAGAGCGTCAGGAAGCCCTCCTTCCGTGATGACCTCCAATTCCCATCTGCCCATGTTCCCCAGTCACAGCCAACGCTGAGACACAAAGATGCTGAGGCAAATGCAGATAATAGTGCTCCAAATTTTAGGTCCCGTTTCTTTTCAGAAGGGTTATCTTTCCCTTCTGTGGGATGTAAAATTAGAAAATTGTGCCCTCCAAGTCTCCTTCTCCAAGGCACAAAGGAACAGCCTGGGCAGCTTCTGAATGTAGCTCGTAACCTTCTGATCCCTCCTCTCATTTTAGCATCATAAAATATTTGTGGTCTCTGTCCCAAACCACTGCGTAGGAAGACAAAATAGAGTTAAGAGCTGTAATTTTCAAGAACATGGGATCTTTAGAGCTGTTCAATACAGGGACACATCAAAATCTCTTGAAAAAGGAAGAAGGCATCAAGTAATGGTGTTTTTCCTTTGTATTTTCTTCCAGCTTGCAGTGGTGCACGACACAGCTGAGAACAGTGGGTTGCACTGGCCTGGCCTCACATCCCCCGCTTGGCAATGCAGAAATGTGGCTAGACACTACCTCTAATTAGGAAAAAAAATGGTGCATGAGATTGGTTTTGAAAATGGTCTTCAGTGCTGCAGAATTGCAGCTCCCTGTGATTCATGGAGCAGCCCTGGCTCACTGATGTCTACCCATTAAAAAGTGGCTGGATTTAGGCCATTGTGGTACAGAAAAAACAGAAAGCAAGACTCAGAAGAGAGAAATAAATCCAGACAGAGCCACCTTAGTCCTGCTCTTCGCTTTATTTGTTCCTATCTCTAATATGTTTCATGAGGCAGGCTCGACAGTAGAACACTGAGCCAAAATTATGTTTCACAGTGCATCCCTGCTACTAAAAGATGGAAGGAGAGAGATAAATATTGGTGAATG